TCTTCTAAAGATTGTTGTGTTTTTGATGATGGATTTCTCAAAACTGCTCAATGACTTGTCTTATATATTAGTCCTGCATTAGTGCACTTGATGTATAAATCAAAGTAAATGATCCTTTAGCTAACTTTAATCCTGTATTTATGTTTTCAAATAACACCCTACGCTTGTGGTTTCTTATCCACCGGTCTTCACATATTAGGTGCAGTGGTGTATTTATGGACAATTTGCAGAACTGATTGACTCAGAATGGTTTTTCTCCTTTCAACATGACAGATCAAACAGGACATAAATTTTCTAGCAAAATGGAGAAGATAAAGAGTCAGATAAACTCTGTTCCTCTGGCAACTGAACTGGTCCATTGAACTCCAACAGTAAGCCTATCAAAGTTCTTAGCATTAGTTATTTCTGCACAAATACACAAAAAAATGGCAATATTAAACAAGAGGATGGTACTATTTTCAATTTATTTTCTCATATAAAAAAAATATACTTTTTTTCTGGTACTGGATAAGAACCAAGTAAAACAATAATGAAGAGTACAGGTACATAATCCTAAAACAGCAGAGCAACCAATACCCACTGAACTGTCACATGAATGAACTCACAAAAGTTCTTACTATTTGATGTTAAGTATTCTCAGCATCAGAGATGTAGTTCTTCACATGCACAAGCAGTCCTAGATTAAGAGGTTCATACTCTCTCTCAGTCATAAACATTATACCATTAAAATCCTGATACTCCCACGGTAAGCAATGACCTATAAATGGAGTCAGGTCACTCATATGTAGTTACATTCCTACACTAAAAAATGCCCCAAACTTAATGATTCCTTTTTGTGGGCTAAATCTCAAATTTGGGTTTGTTTAAAGGAGGGCATGATATCAATGAGCTCTGAATCTTAAGAAAATGTGAGCCTATGCTGAAACTTTAGAAATGCAGGGGATACTGTGAAGTCAGTGCCCACATCCAAATTCTTTCATAAATCTATACCATCCTATCAAAATTAAAACTGGAACTATAATGAACAGATCTGGGCTGAGAGTCTAAATTAATTAGCCACTCATATCCTATTGAATTTTAATAGGAGTTGAGCTCCTAGTTCTTTTTAACTACTTTAAAAATTTGGTCTTTGAACATAATTGCACTTCATCAGTGGTACAGCACTAGAGGAGAAAAAGGAACCTCTTATCTTTTTTCCCTGGTCATAACATAAAAATAGGTTTCTTGCAAATAAATTAGCAGTGAAGTTTTAGAGATGTTTCAAAAAATTAGGTCTAAAACCTGCCAGATCTAACAGCTTACTCATAACTAATATAAAACACTAAGCTGGGAGATCCAGCATCCTCCAAAACTTGGAGGCACAACTGAGGGCAGTACAGAAGGGTAAGAAAGCATGATGTGGTGTAACAGGCCACCTGTATATTTTAAAACACAGCTGTTGTCTCTGAGAATCTGAATAAGCAGAGATTCACTAATAACCTATATGGTCACACTTTATTTAGCATATGATTGATGAAACAAGTCCCATTACTTGGAAATGGGTTTTATCAGTTATACCTCTTATCATGGTCTGTTCATATACTCTACTAAGTTCCTTGTAAGCAGTTATCTCTTCCTACTGAAATACTGAAAACAGGTCCATGCCAGAATTATTACATGAAGGACTATAAGCAAGTAATTCAAGAAAACGTCAAAATCAAAGAGCATACTGTGAATACTGGACACAGCTTTTTCTCTGGACAAGCAATCTCCCTTTTCTCCTTATACTCCCAACAGTTCCTCAGTCTGCGACCAACAGAAAAAAATACCCTTCTCAGAGAAAACCTCAGCCAACAGCACTTAGTTAACTTTTTAAAGAGAAGAATTTTCTTTCACATACCTGAAATATTGACTGAAAGCAGCTAACACATTTTTGTGTGCTTTGAAGCAGACACCCTTCACCACCAGCATGCAGTCACAGAGAAGCCCCTGAATGCGCTGTTCATGTAGCTGCTGGAGAAGATGACAGCTATGGCTAGCAACAGTGTCCATGCTAGAAAATCACTTAAATTACCTATAATGAGATAAAATGCTAAGGTGAATATTAAATTGCAAAATTAATTTAAAACATTAAGAACATTTTTACAATTTACTTTAGCTTTCAAAGGAAGCAGACTTCAGTTCACACCTGCAATTTGATCGCTAATGACATCTTTCTGCTTAAAGATGAGTCACAATATTGCTCACCAACAAATACACAGCAATACACATAAGAAATAGTGATTCTTAACAAAGATTTGTTTACAACAAAGAGCATCTGCAAAAATCTAATGGTGTTGCCAATAAACTGAACTCCATAACCACAAAAAAATGCACCTCAATTTAGACAACTTCCACAATAATTAAGAGTCCAATGCAAAAACACATTGCATGTACAAAATCAGTAGCATTTGTAGAGAAAAACCTCAGTTTCTTCATCCTTTAAACTCAAATGGGAAAACTAGTATTATTTCAGGCATTTGTTGCTGTTTTAGCTACATACATTTCTACAATGTATCAATTAATTAGACACATTAGCATGGTATTGTTCTTAATACAATGTAAAATCTAAATGAAAAAAATCCCCTCTTTAGAGGTTGAATAGACAAGTCACATTGCAACACAACACATTTACATTGAATCCTATACTTCCTTTTTTTTTTTTTCCCCTAACAAGGGGGGAAAAACATCTTCCCCTGTGCGCTTGCAAACATGACAATTCCAACTATTAGGACAATCTGAATTTCTAGTCTTCTAACTAGGAGTGAAGGAGGAAAACCTTCCCATTCTAAGGAATGAAGCAGGAAAACTGCCTTTTAAGCATGACCAGATAGTGACTGCCCCATTCTCAAATCTCATGAACCATAAGGGTTCCACGTTAATTTATCCTTATGTGCCCTGTCTCTGGCTGTATTACACTGGGGGGGGGGTGGGGGGGTGGGGGTGGTACTACATTGTGCTTTTTCTCCATTAATGCTTATCATACTTTGACCAGGATTTAAAATAAAGAAACCACGTTAATATGCTTTCCCTGTGAACATCTCCCACCACGACATCCCGCAATTACTTTGACAGTGAAGTGTCTCTCATCCAGGGGCCGGGCACGGAGAGCCGCTCCCGACACCGGGGGGGCCGCTCCCGACACCGGGGGGGCCGCTCCCGACACCGGGGGAGCCGCTCCGGCACCGGGGGAGCCGCTCCGGCACCGGGGGAGCCGCTCCCGGCACCGGGGGAGCCGCTCCCGACACCGGGGGAGCCGCTCTCGGCACAGCCGCTGTTTGGGGCTAAGCGCCCCTCAGGCAAGCTCGAGGTACCGCACGGGGGAGAGGACAGAGGGAGGGTTTGCCTCACTGCGGGCCGGCTCTGCCCGGGGACAGCGCAGCGAGCGGCCGGTGGCGGGCTGGGGGGACGGGGCTGCGGCGGGAGGAGCACACGGACACACAGCCCCGGGCAGCGGAAAACGCGGCGCGACCTCCTACGGGGGCGACAGCGGCCGAAGGGCCGGAACCGGCCCGGCCCTGCCCTGCGCTTACCGGCTCCGGCCTCCTCCCAGCTCCATCCCCGCCAGCGGCCGCTTCCGCCGCCGCGCCCTCCCCTTCCCGTTCCCTTTCCCGTTCCCGTTCCGGTGCGTGGGGCGGGGGCAGCGCAGGCGCGGGCGGTGAGGGCCGGAGGGTCGGTGCGGCACGTGCCGCGCGGGCGGCGGCGGCGGCTGCTGAGGTGCGGGGGAGTGAGAGCGGGGCTGGCTCGGCTCGGCTCGGCAAAGCACAGCACGGCACGGCACGGCACGGCACGGCAGCAGCCGGCTGCCGCACAGGAGCGCGGGTGGCGGCCACGCCGGGCTTCCCATGCCATGCGGCCCGATCACCTCTCAGCGCTGCCGCTCGGCGGGGCACGGCCGAGAGGGGTCTGCAGCTGCGGGGAGCAGGATGGAGCGGAAAGGAGGGCACCGGGAACGGTCCTGTGCGGCGTATCCGCGCTGGGGCCGTACAGGCGTCACCGGTTCCGCCGCTGGGGTGGTGGGTGCGGGGGTTACAGGTGGTTCCTCCGTTCGGGTGATGGGTTCGGGAGTTACCGGTTCGGGTGATGGGTTCGGGGGTTACTCGTTCCTGGCTTGGGTGATGCGTTCGGGGTTGCTGTTTCCTGGTTTGGGTGATGGGTTCGGGGTTGCCGGTTCCCTGTTGGGGTGGCGGGTGCAGGGATTGCTGGTTCCCGGGGTGCTGATCTCCCCTGCGCTCAGGGAGGGACTCAGGTGGAACGAGTCAGGTGGAGCAGCGGGCTGCGCACCCTGTCCGTCAGTGGGTGCACGGCTGTGTTTCGCTTCGGCCCTCCAAGTGTTTCTTTCAAGCTATAAATCAAGATCTTTTTCTTCTTGTATTCCTAGAGTTGCGTTTCTGTGGGAAGGAAGAGGCTCCTGACCACTTGCCAACATGGTAGTTTTCACATGCAATGCGTGTGGAGAAGCTGTGAAGAAAGCACAGGTTGAAAAGCACGTGAACATCTGCAGAAAGTGTCAGTGCCTGTCTTGCATGGATTGTGGCAAGGATTTCTGGTACGTAAAGAATGGGAAATAGCCTTGCTCACTCTGCAGACTTACTTGCCCACTCTTGTCACAAATACAATTGATGCAAATCAGAAATTTTCACTGAAAGCTGTAAGCATGACAGAAATGCCTGTGGTCTTACAAGCATGTACTTTAAGCACATCACATTTTTATAATTTAAGAGTTGACAGTAATACGGTTTAAATTATCTGTTAATTTAAATTATCTATTACTTCATCTTGTTGGTTGCCTAAGTGTTGCATAGTTTGAAGAGTGAAGCATTTTAATGACCTGTGGTTAAAAATCTCTTCTATTCAGGGGTGATGACTATAAAGAGCACGTGAAGTGTGTAAGTGAAGACCAGAAATATGGTGGGAAAGGCTTTGAAGCCAAAACGAACAAAGGAGATGCTAAACAGCAGGAATGGATTCAGGTATGTTTTGTACTGTGTGCACCTACAGTAACTATTGTATGTAATTATCAAAGACAGAAAAGAGCCTATACTGGCTCAAGCCAGAGATCTGTTTTTACCAATATCCCCAGCTGTCTTCTGACATTTCCTTGACAGCTGTGTGTTTATCTCATAAGAAATGTATCTTTTGTTTTGAATCTGTCTCTTACTAGTTTGATTTAGTGTAATGTTCCCATCTGTATACAAAGAGACATTGGTAGTTGTCCATCCTTTTCTTGCCATTTATGCTTTTGTAGACCTCTGTCAGGCATCCCTCCCCATCTCATATTCTTTGTTCAAGGCTCAAAAATCCTACCCTACTCAGTTGTTCTGCATATGTAAATTATATCTTTGGTCTTCTAAAATCTTCCCACTCTATTGTATGCTTGTGAAATGCTGTTCAAGATATAAGAGAATCATAGATTTACCACGTGTCATCATTATGTTTTCCGTGTCCTTTATTCCTTTCTAACTGTTTTTGTCAGTTAATGTACTTTTGGGTGGTTTTTTAATTCGGTTTTTATACACCGCTGCTGATCGTTGTGATGGCATTTTCATGGAATTGGCTATTTTGATCCTGAGATACTGTATCTAAGCTCCAATGGTCAACTAAAGCCTGCCATTTTAGATCTGAAATTAAGATTGCTTTTCCTTTTCTTCTGGCTTTACGTGAAGTTGTGTTGACTGTATTTCACTTTTTTATTACCTAGTCACTCATTTTCTTAAGATCTTTCTGGAATTCTCATAGTCCTCATCCTGAATAGCTCAATATCATTGGGATATTTTCATTTTCCATCCTCTAGTCAGATATTTTGTAAGTATGTAAATTAATATGTAAATTTGGCAGCTATTTTGTAAATATGTTGAACAGGAGAAGCTCCAGCATGGATAGAAATATCTCTTACTCTTTCTGCCTTACACAAGAATCTACCCTCTTATGGCTTTCATTCAAGGGTTTTTGGAAGGACCTCAAACACATTTAAAACTCCATTAGTAGTAGGTTAGATCACATTTATGCATGGAAATTGTTGCTTTCTATCATGTAGAACACATGCTAAGAAGGTTCTAAGCTGCATGCATACTTGAAGCATATGATGAATACCATTAAAGTCAGAGATGAGTGCTCTTGTTGAGATTGAACACTCAGACGTTTGAGGACATTTGTAAAGGCAGTATGACGTGAGTGTTGTTGCCTGTGAACATTGGTAGCCTGCCTCAATAGTAAGTGATTCTTATGTAGAGGGATGAGAGATTATGACCAGACACCTTTTTCTGATAGTCTTAACATATTCACAAAGCCTTTCAGTCACCAGATCTTCAGAAGTACAGGAAAGCTCTACAGTGTCCACTGGCTGCACTCTCTAAGTACTGGGAAGCCCAGAGCTTTTTTCCCCCACAACCAGCAGTGCTGTTCAAGGGGCTGCCATGAGAGCCTGGTCTAATCTCTCTTCTCTCATGCTGACACCCATAGCACAGGAATATCCAGAGCTGTCATACAGGATAAATGCTTGTTGAAGCTGGCACTGCTGCCAGAAGAAATGCATGTCAGCTGTGGCATCAAAAGTAAGCCTGATTTTTCATAATTAATTCCAAAACCAAAGTTGCTTTTCTTAATGCAGGTCTTTTATGGGCTGCAAAAATCCCTTCTGTGATACAGTTACTTTAGTTTGAAATGTTTTTATTACAGTTTGTAACTTATTCATCAGAAAGCACTGGTGAGCAGTCCTGCTTACCTCTGCTTATTATACGGGTATAAACATTTACATAGATAACTTTGGCACATTTAACGAGCTATGATAGAGCCAAAGGTCAGTGTTTTTCTCATGTTTTTTTAACATTTCCTATGAGCAGACTATACCAGCTGTGGGTGCTGGGTGATTTCTGCCCAGTGTATTTCAGGCTTGCACACCTGACATGTACTGTTGGATCCTTATGCACCTTTGCTGATTTAATTCTGTTTTTCATAATTCAGAAAATTCATGAAGTAATGAAGAAGCCCAACATAAGCCCTAAAGTGCGGAACATCCTGGAGCAAATGCGTGCCTTTGATAACATTCCAAGAAAAAAAGTAAAGTTTCAGGTATGTTTTAATAGAGATTTGCAGTAATCTGTGCAGTGAGCATAAAACCAGACTTTTTAAGGAAATTCCACTCTCTTTTAACAAAGGTGAGACAAATTGCATATTTGGGCATTCATATAGATTGTGCAATAACTGAATTTCAAATAGGCAGTGGTTGTAAAATACATTTATTTCCTTAAAAGGACTCTTGGTCTACCATTTGAATTAGGTATTAAGCCAGAGACTTACCTTTTAAGCTTAATCTCCATATATAGGTTTGTTCTGTTTTCAATACTCTTCTTTTTTGACTATTTGCTATTACTATTGAATATCCAAATTCTTAGACATACTTTTAAAAATTTCTTATTTCTTTGGCTTTGTTTTTTCCTGAAGGCAAGGTCCTGTTTTGAGAGTTTTCCTGTTACTCAGAATTCTGACAGACCCTCCCACTCTGCATTCTTTGCTAAAGTAAATTACAGATGTTGATAATTTACTGTGTGTAAAGAATTTCAATTAAATGTGAAGAATTACTCACAAATGGGGCTTTCACCCCACCACCCCCCCCGTCAGATTGTGAGGCTGAGAGAAGATCAGGCTTGCTTCCAAAGCACTCAAATAGAACTTAATAGAGCTGTGGTGAAATTGCTGCTAGCAAGCTGAAGGTCAGACTGTTTCCCTGCAGGATTAATGTTCTGAGCAGGAAAAATGGTATTTTCCAGAAGCCTCTTTTTTTGATAAGATACATTGCAGTGGAAGATCAAAAGTTTTTGCAGTTAATTGTTCCAGTTTAGTAATGCACCTTTCCTGGGGCTTTCACTGCAATGCAAAAATCTTTCCATTACACTAAACATTGAATTCCACATTTCTGAAAGTTGATATCTTGAAGATAGTTTACTGCATTATTTACTGCTATATTTTCATTTTCACCAGAAACATCTGCAATAACCCAAACAACTTTTCAAAATGTTTGCATTGAGATATTTGTTTAAATTATACTTTCTTGTAATAAACTAAGGTATCCATTTAGGAGCGTGACCATATGTCCAGTACACAAATAAATAAGATCAGATCATTAATGTTTTAACTCATGGGAATAGTCAGAAGATTTGGTGGGACCTTAACATAGCCATTAGTATCAAAAAGCTTGAGGATTATTTTCTGTATGTGTTCAACCACTTGCTGATGGCTGTTGGTGAGACAATTGCGATATGTGGTGTAGCCTCCTAACAGTACCTAGATATATGTGAAACAATTTAGCAAGGAGGCTTGAGAGATGAATAGGACTAACCTCTAACCAGATCTTAGTCAAAAGCAGTGATTGGATTCTTAAATGGAAAAAAAAAAAAAAAAGAACCAATTATATGGTAAAGAAGAAATAAAGTCAGAGGTGCATGTTTTCAGTTGTTTTTTTCTATACACAGAATTGGATCAAGAACAGTTTGAGAATTAAGGACAGCAATTTGCAAGATCAGGTGTGGGATGTTTTCTCAGAAGCAACCAGAAATGTAAGTTTAACTGGAGGTACATTTTAAAATGGGAATGCACTCCAAAATATTTGAAGGCAAACCTTTCAAACTCCCTTTGTACGTGTTAGTGGAAACATTGTCTCCCATAGTTCCAATACATTATGTTACAATGTAATATTTCTTGAATAAGTTGTTTATTTGTGGAACAAAAAGCTGTTGCTGAAGTGGTTGTTCATACTGAGTAGGTTGTGATTGAAAACTTGGACATGGTGACACAATTGTGCCATGATAATCAGAAGGCTAATTTATGCTACTAGTATATAAAAAAAAGGGGAAAAGCACTGCCTTTATCTTTGTTCTAGTCTAGTCACACACTAAGACAGAACAAGACATCTTTCAGAGTTTATTGGTCTCAAATTCATGTGTATTGGAGTGAGAAATTAGCAAGCACATAGTTTACCTATTTCATTAGTGGGGAGAGAGATCCTCCAGTTTGTGGCACAAGTTCCTCCCATTTCTTTGTCCAAATTGTGGACTCACTCTGACCTTTTGTCAGTACCTAATTCTTTGGTATTTCATTACTAGCTCAGTGTGTTTTGGTAGGGTGTTGTTTGTTGGCATCTATTGCTGCCACTCAAAAGCTGTTGGAGGAGCTGATTTCTCAGCTGATGTAAAGATGCTCTCTCCCCTTTCCCCCAAATTCTTTTGAGGAAGAGTGTAGGCAAAGCTTTGGCATTAATCCCCTGTTGATGATGCTTTGTGTTTCTGACTTGATGATTCCAGTTAAAATGTATTTGCACTTTTTCTGAGGAATCCAAATTTAAGAGCCAGGAAAGAAAGAAACTTGTTTAATAAAGGAGAGGAACATAACAGAAATTCTGGACACTGAAGTACACTGTTTTGCTGGAGCATTAATACTGAGTTTATACAACTTCATTAAAGTCATAAGCAGTTTTCCATTGACTTAAACTAATTTTTAAGAATGTCTTCAGTCTGAAAACCTTGTTTTTAAACACAAATGGAAACAATTACACTGTCCACAGTGCATAGCATTAAAATAAAATATATAGCACAGCATTTAAATTTATCTTTAAGAATCTGAAAAAGATTTTAAGATATTATTTGTAATGCATACCCTGAAATGTATATACTTAATGGAAATTCTTAAGTAGAATTCAAATTTAATTAAAATAACTCTTTATAAAAACATGTTGATGTTAAATTGCTTGTATAAAGATCTGTTCTCTTTCTAAATAGCTACACTGACATTTCAGTAATTGTATTCCACTTGTAATTATTAAAATTAAAATTTAAATTGAACATTAATTTCTCCATTAATGTATTGAGTATTCTACAAGAAAATCATTATAAGCCCGGGAGCATTAAAAGAAAACCAAATATGTTGAGAAAAGTACAATTAAAACAAGCAGGAGTACCTTTTTGAGCATCATAACAGTTATAACAGTTGTCATAACAGTTTGTTGTCCCAGACACATCTAAGACAGGGAAGTGGATGGCAAAAGAGATTATTACTCAAGGGTTGTGTATTTGGGAATCAGTTCTGCATCTTGCTGTAATGTGCTGTAGTATTGTTTGTGTAAATTAAAGAGCTGTCACTTCCTTAATTACATTTGACAAATAATTTAAAACACTACAGACACTTCAACTAGGAATTACTTATGTTGTAAGATAACATTTCTTCTGTGATGGTAATTAGCATTTAGTCTGTTAAGTTAAAAGAAGAATCAGGCACATTATTTCAGTAATGCTGCTTCTCAGGTAACTGTTGACATCAGATGTAAACAATTTAATTGATTTCAGAATATCAGTGTTCTCAACAGTTACCAATGATCTAGTAGAGAAAAGTTGCAATGTCAAAAAACACACTAAAAAACTGTAATTGTCTTTCTTTTGACAAAAGATTTCAAATGAAAAAGAACAAGACAAACCACAACAGAAGAAAGAACAGCAGTCTGCAGAAACTGGGGAAAATACAAACGCAGAAGAAAATGGAATTACAGATGCAAAAACTGAGAGAAAAAAGAGTAAGAGGGAACAAAAAGAAGAGAGGCAAAAGAACAAAAAGAAGGAGAAAAAAGATCTGAAATTGGAAAACCAGGAAGAAGTAAAAAAGACTAAAAAGTCCAAAAAAGGAAAAGAGAGTGTAGAGGATGAATTTGAAATAAATGGAAATGGCAATCACTGTGAAAGAGAAGGGGAAAGAAACATAAAGAAACGCAAACATAAACATATAGAAGGTATCCATCATACAGCTTATATTAATGTTTGTTTTGAAGATCCTTTTTCTCAGTTCCAAAGCTCAATAAACTACCTAAGTAGAATTTTAAAGTAGTGCATTAGATATGCAAAGTAGATTCTTTTTAACAATGATTGCACATTTCTTTTATAAAATCTGAACCACTTTGCAAATATAAACTCATGTTACAAGAACAAAAGCTTAAGTCATGTCAGAATTTCTAGTTTTAAATCTTTCTTGTGTATGTTTTATCCAATTCCATCTCTAGAGGAGCCTCATACTAAAACAAAGAGAATGAAAACTGAAAGCATTTCGGAAGACATGGAAACAGAAAACATCAATGACAGTGAAGAAAATGTGGGAACAGAGAAAGGTATTGTTAAAGGAACAGTTTAGATTGTTACAAACTACTCTGGAAAAGACCTAATGCATGATACAAATACTGCTTCTGTAGCAAGCCATGAAATAAATTGTGCCTCACTATACATAAATGTATGTATATGTGTGTATACACATTTGTTCCAGAGTAAGTAGCCTGTGCTACTCTTAACACCTGATAACTAATTACTTCTCTGATTTGTTGTTTGTGCTATACTGGCAGCCTTTGCTATTCTTATTTCCAGTGGACACTGAGGTTTCACCACAGTGCATCTCTTCCCTGCTGCCATGTACATTAGACAACACAACAAAAAGGGTAACAGCTCTTAGACCTCTTGGTGTATGTCATATCCCCATTTTTGGCAGTGAATCATAAATTTGACTTCAGATACATTGGACCTTAGTTTATACATAGATAAACCTGCTTCTGCCTAGCACCTGTCATGCTCTGACTGTGTTTGAACATACAGATCATGTATTTGGAAACCACCAGTTAATCACCTCTGAAGGTGGGATGGTCAAATTTGACTGTGATTTAAGTGTGAAAGACAGGATCTTAACTATTCCTGTGTTATTTAAGAGTTTCTTCTTGATAGCTGAAGTGCAGAAGTAAAAACAATTCTGACCCCTATTGTTCAAGTACTGTGTTGTTTCTTCATCTCTGTTCCATTTTATATTCAGGAACAGCTGGTGACTTTATGCTTAAGACACATTCCTGTTGTAGGGTCAGTAAGGTAACAACTGTTGTGGTAGCCAAACTGATTCCAAAATGAGATTGATGGCTGGTTACTAGTAGAGAAGAAAACCCAGAATACCTCCTTTTACTAACAATCTTGTACACCTAATTATTTTCTAGGTAAATTCAACTGGAAGGGAACCATCAAAGCAGTTTTGAAACAGGCTCCAGACAATGAAATTTCAATTAAGAAACTAAGAAAAAAGGTATTGTACAGCATGTTTTTTTAATCTCCTTTGTTCTTGTGAATTTATTTGTGTAATGCTGAAGCTCAGAAAATTCTGGCTGGTATAAACAAAGAAAGTTCAACATTTTTTAATGGAATATCAATTAACAGAATGTCAGTTGAAGGACAGGTTTTATGATGCTTACTGAATTACACAAGAAATTCAGTGCTGGTTCTGAAAAGGAAAAATAGTACAATAGCTTCCATGCCACTTTTCATGCAGTAATGTAAACTTATTATTGCTTACAATGGAATCATCTTCATGGACTAAAAACCATTTCTCTGTCTTTGTGCAGGTGATAGCTCAATATTATGCAGTAGCTGGTGAACATCACAAAACAGAAGAGGAGATCCTAGTCATATTCAATAAGAAAGTGAATAACAATCCCAAATTTAGAGTTCTAAAGGACAAAGTGAAACTTGTGAAATAAACAGCTTGCATACTTTTCATAGCTGTTGCATTTTAATCTTGCAGACAGTCAAACTCTTCTGTCAGCTGTACAACTACTGTGCATTGGTATCAATTTAACTTGTGTATATGAAAGGAGAATTTAACTTTTAATACTGGATCCCTCCCCCTTTTCTAGATTTACCACAGAACATTTTCAGATATTTTATTTTTTGATTTTATGGAAAATGTATATTTTTTGGTACAATTTTTAAGAGGCGTTGAAAATAATTGCTGGCCTGCTGTTTTAAAATTCTTCCAGTAATGTATATAATTTATAAGCATGAATGTTTTTCAGGACCTGGGTTGTGTGGCTTTTTGCAGGAACTATTTTTCAGAGCAAATAGGATTTTCATATTCAAAAACCCACTGAGGAATAAATGTTTTGTTATGCTAAAATTCAAAATGCTATGGCTGATACCCACTTCACACACTGTGGGTAGTACATGCAGCCTTTAATAAACTGTTGATTCTGTGTTGAAAAAATGCATAAATAAAATGGCAGATTTGTGTATGCAATATGTCACATTCAGTGAAAATCTAAAGACTGAGTTACCTGCATATGCATTGTTACTGAAAGTCTTGGTTAGTAATGCAACTGACTTCAACAGAAGTGGTTACATGGAGTAAAAATTGACTGATGAAATATATCACTTTAAAATACAAGCTTAAATCTAATTAATCTTGTCACTTTATAATTGCATAATAAATCCACAAATTATACATCATTTGAAGAGGCTGTTGTATTCCTGTCACCAAAACAATTTAGCTAGGCTAGACGTGTTACAGGTATAGAACTGGGGAAGTTCTATAGGTTTTTATTTAATTGCAAAATTACTTCCATGTAGGAAGTTTCCTGTTGTTGAAACTGATGATGGATCAGTTGAAAGCTGGGAATAAGGAATATCAAATCAACAGTATGCAGATGAGCTATCAGACTAGGATGTGACCTTGTAATTTTCTTTCCTGCTTTAACTATTATCATTCTTAAAGGTTCAAACCATGTACTCCCCTGTGCATTGCCATGGTTAGGTTAGTGCTGATTGTGTGGAGTAGTAAAGATACTGTAGATTATTCTTCCCCTCTCTGTGTAAAGGGTAAAGCAGCACCAGCTGATATTCATTTTTTCCCTCATGACTTGGCAGACATGAATCTAATGCATGCCTCTATTTGACAGTCATTAGTGGGAGTCTGTTGCAAGTAAGCCTAGTTTTAATTACAACAGTATAACCTCCGTGTACGCTGCTGCAGTAGTATTATCTTTTTCTGCTCTGTTGGCAGAAAGAGGGGGAGGGGGAACAATACGATTTGTAGGCATATTTTTCTTTCTGGGTGTTCCAGGGAATACTGTAGTATGGTCATATATGTAATATGTAATGTAATATGGTAAGTTTGGTAAGTAATATGTAGTATGGTAGATGAGTCTATGCCTCTAATCGTAGAAGGCTTCAAGTGCTATTCCAGTCCATGCATAGTTGCATTCTTGACATGCAGCTCTCCAGGGAGATAAAAAACCCCAACTTCGATGTTTTTTCATTAGACAATTAATAAAGTACTCAGAGGACTGAATTTGGCTTTTCTCCTTACAGCAGATCTGGACTTTAATTTACTCCTTGGAACTAATGATGTCTTGAGTAGATTAAATTTACTGTAAATTTGGTGGTAATTGTTTCAGAGGGAGGCAAAATCCCTCACAGATCATTGAGAATCCTTCAAGAAGACAGAAAAACAGCAGGACCCCTCTAATTTCTATTCAATAATTTCTATTCTATTCTAATTTCTAGTCAATAATTAAGCAGCATATTTACCAGTATTGTTTTAATCCAGAATATGTTTTAGTTATTTTCTAAACAGCATAACATAGCTCCAATTATACCTTATTGTTAAAATTTTCCTTTCTAAAATAGGGTATTGAAAAATCAAGTGTCTTTGTGGCAGGGTGAGGAAGGAAGAAATTAGAAAATTGTTTAAAGCTAGTGGCTTTCATTATAACTATAGCATAAGCACTTAAGCAGGGACTTTAATCATTGGAAGAAAAAAAGCTTCAAAGGACAGCTACTTATTTGTTGTGCTCAGCCCTCTACTGTCCTGGTGCATTAGAGTAGTTCATTCTTTCTCCAGTGAAATCTGATCCTCCCACCTGGTGCTATAATCCAATTGCATCAGGACAATGCAGTCAGAGCCCAACATGAGTAGTGGCTCGTAGCTGATGACCACAAGATACAGAGACCCAATATATGATTTCATTCGGAAACTTTTAAGGCTGTAACAGTCACCCTTATTAAGGAAATAAGAGACCAAATATTAAACTTTTTGTGCAAGATAAGTGAAAAAAGGCATATTGTTCTGTACATTGAGCTGTATTCACAGGTTACAAGATACCTCAGTCAATATATTCAACATTTATCCCTTTCTTCTCCCAGATTAGCCTTTAAGAAAAAACAGGAATAAGTCCTCTAAGTTTCTTTTCTGCTCTGTCAGCCAAGAAAAGCTGTATATTATGTTTCCCATTAGTACTTTTACAGGAAGTGTTACTTTATATTGAATTCTAAATTTCACTTGGACTAGAGGAAGTTTTACTAGTAACTTTCCCTTGCACTTTTCAGATACAGTTCCTTTTGCCCCTGGTAATCTGCTTCTCTTTGCAATTCTTGGATGCAATTCCTTTTGCACCTGAATCCTCATGCTTTTATGCTCTCAGACAGCAAAGGCTGAAAAACCAAGCTTTTTGCTTAGATTGGACATTTTTCTTCAAGACTGCATATCATAGATCTTAGTCCTTTCCAAACACATCTTTTTTTATCTTTCCTTTTTAAATTTATTCTAGAAGATTTAGAATTTTCCAGTCTTCTGTGTGTTTTGCCCTTCTCAGAATCTTTTAGTAGAAACTGCTCTTGCTACATAACTTCATACCTGAGCTACAGCAGAAGTAAAATACTGACTTCTAACAGAAGTAGTTTTATAGTTCCTAAAATTACTTGAAAGTAACAGAAAACCAGAAATTTTGTCTTTATGCCTGCCCACCCATTAGACCCCTCTTCTCAAACTTCTATGTGAAAAACATTAGTACAAAATTATTATAAAAAGCCTAATTAAGGCCCGATTACAGTCAAGCTCAACTCATATTTGGTTTGCCAGAAAAAAAGGTGCTTTTAAACATAATGGGATCTTCCTCTCAGGCAGCATGAAATTCACTTGAAAGTATTCAGATCACTACATCTCACTTAGGTGACAAAAACAACGTGAATAAAAAAGAACCAGAATTTCATCTGCATTGCAGGTGGTTCAAACCACACTGTGTTTCCTCCTTCCTTCTGTCCCTTGAAGTAGCCACACAATGAAATTCCACCATCCAGCCATTAATGTATAAACACAAAGTACAAAGTGCACTTTTATACTTTAATTTTTTGCCCTTCTGCTGACCTTTTTTCTTGATGAGACTGAATTCCTGGAGGAATACACACCTATTGACACTCCATGTATTGTCATGTGTTCATACATGACAAAGACTCATGTTTTCTGTGGATGAGACAGGACCAGGGTTTTCTCCTAGACTGTTTCTTACTATGTCTTATACCATGACAATACATTTCCTCCTGCTTCTTGCTCCTACAGTTCTGACTGAGCCATTATGCCGTTGAAAGTTTCAGCTTTTTTGGTGAACTTTCAGAACTCAAGTGGTTCCAGAGGGTTAGCATTGGGTAAGTTCTCCATGAGAAGAAAAAATCTGAGCTCAGCTGATGTTCTAAAGGACCTGTTTATGTTATGCAGATTAGTCAAAACAGTAATGGGAATTGTACAACAGTCCTCCAGCCAAAAATCCTAATTGCTGAATTCAGTCTTCATAAAGGTAACATCTTCCTGTCTCTCTTGGACAGCTTAGTACTCAGTGTTCCTTCTAACTCTGTTGTCCAATTAATTACAATACCTGTTCAAAATACATGAAAATTGACCCTACAGAATATGTAAGTGGTAATGGACTGTGAAGGACAATGGTAAAAAAAAACTTTTCTTTGAATGAAACATGTAGGAGTTTTGTTTTGTGTTTTTTTTTCAAGACTTCACAGAAGCAGTATGAGCTTCCCACAATACACATCAATGAGCTGTTGCTGTGCTGAGCTGTACTTTCCAATCTTGTTAACAGTGAGAGCCACATGCCCAAGAAACTTTGTCCCTGCTTTAATACCTCAGTCAAATCACAGGCAGTGGTGGCACTAGATATCTCCAAAACAATAGTTAATATTCTATTACAGCCAAAAATAGTGCTAACCTCTACCAATAGAAAAATAAAGTGTCACACCAAAAGAGACCAATATTCCTGTACAGTAAATGTTGAATGATACATTTGAATGCCCATTCCCACAACTGATAGTCTTTCCTGTGTGAATTAGATCTGACATTCATTATTCAAAAAACACACTTTAGGATGTTCCTAAATGCCCTAAGAAATTCTTTTCATATTGTTACAGATGCATAGTTGCACAGATTTTGTCCTAAATAAAGAAATCAGTTTCACTAAGTCCCAAGTGTTCTCTTTCCCACTCTCTCACATCTGGCCATTTGTTTTTGCCTCTCTACCAGCCCCTGCATTTTTGCAGGCTTTTAAAACCAGATCAAATCCTCAAACTGAGAGGTATTATGTACCACTACTGGGGATTGAGTAGTCAAGAACAATTATAGCTGGAGTATTGCTGCCAAGTGCTTTGTATCATTAAACTGTAGTCTTGGGAAAACATTTTGAGAGCCATTGTACTCCCTCAAGAAAGTAAGCATAGTTAAGTGAAACTCAACAAATGATTTCAAAGAGAGAGAGTAAGAAAATTTGCTTAGCTACTTCTAGGAGAATGGTTCATCCAGATTTTTTTTCTTTTTATAAATAAGATGATTTTTGGATAAATTTGGATAAATATTTTGGTTTTGTTTGCATAGTTAAAGATGGAATGAACAGAACAGTTCTTGTATTCATATTGCTGATTATAAAAAGGCAAGTGTCAAACACTAAAGATATCTAACATCTCTAATCAGGATAATTGAGGGTTAAGATGGTCTTCTATCAAATAAATACTTAAGATCAGCTATTTTTTTTTTTTTTGTAATTTGCTGACAACTTTCAAGGTGAGGAATAACATTCCTAGCTAAATTAGTTATCTTTATGTGGTGCATTTTTTTCTGTGCTCCTAGATGCCCTCTTCACCTTTTAAACTGGCTTTATCTTTTCTGCTTTCTTTTTCTTCATGGAGTTCAGATGCTTGCATGCTTAAATATAGAGCCTTCTTGGTATCAAACACACTATTCTATGTATTGTTTCCTTCCTGAAGGGTCAATCCAAGGCTGCGCTGCAATTTAATACTCGCATGAGAATTCAGCTTGAGTTCAGGAGTTTGTATATGGACCACATTGAGAGTCAATTGAGTTTTACCCAGCAGTTGTTTTTCAGATCTGCATAAAGTTATTCACACCAAATGCTTTTAAGTCCTTTTCCATTGTACTGAATTTAAAATACTTAAAAGGATGCAAGATGAAAGCAGGGGAATTGTTTGTACTATCTGGAGGCTTTTTTGTTACCTAGATGAGTCAGACAATGTATTTACTTTTTCACCCAGTGTAAGAGAGGATGCACAATACTTTAGTCCAAGAACAAGGTTCAGAAAGGATTGAAAGTCTCTACCCATCCAATCTTTTACTTCTGAATGTAGTGGAAAATGAGCAGCAGATTACTGCTGACTTTATTATTACCTAGTTCATGAACAGAAAGCATATTATAGCACAAGCATTCCTCAAAATAAAAAATTACGTCTATATTTTATCCAACCTACTTCAGCTAAAAATTAATATAGGAAGGAGCCGACCCTACTTAGATATGGAATGAAGAAAATTCCAATCAGGTGTCTTGTGAACAGATAACATTTGGGCTAATTTAGCTCTTGACTTCTGTAATAGGGGAAAAGCTATGAAAATTTGCTAGAATACTAAAAAACTAATTTGACCTCCTAAAAGTGAGAATTTAACTGGGAATTCCAACTCTTAAATTTTATATCTTCCCAGTTGAGACAAACAAAAAGCTACCACATTTGTGTACCATTAAGAATTACTTGTAAATCAACATATAACCAACAATCACTAAGAAGCAAATATTCAGTGAGCAACAAGAAAATAAAATTCAAAATGTCCAAATAGATTGTGAAATTATATTTACCTTATAAATAAAAAACCTGAATATTTAAAGACATTCAATGAACACACAAAGCATTATTTTCTACTTAAAATAAAAGAATGTAAGGTATTGAATTCAGTTCTCAAGATGTAGAAACTGAATTATGTTATGTGAGAGTCCAAGACTACAGGTCATAAAAAATTGCTGCAAACTCCGCCCTTTGTACATTTCTTTCACTGAAACTTCAAATTCACAAATTTATTTCACAGACTTTAAACTAAAGTTATCACATCAAACATCATATTTTAAAATACTTCCTAACATCTGTGCAGGGATTCTTAAACATTAACTTGGAATAATTAGTTACCCATAACAGGCCCATTGATTAGAATCTTTGTTAATTATGTTGTTCATTTTGTGACTGTCTCGGTTCAGCTCCTGATTGCTATCTATTCTTTGGCAGATTAATAATTTCTGAATCAGACAAGCACTGTGAAAAGATCACAGAAAACATCGCAGCTCTACAAACACAGAACAGGAGCGTTCTCCGTTAAGGTCAATAGTGAGCCCAGGAAGGAAGCTCTTATTTCAGCCCTTTGCACAATACCTACTCTGTAGGTAAACAGAAGTGTTCAGTTTAACAACATTGACAGATTTTAACCTTTCCAAGCATACATATTTATTTAATTGCTTCATTTAAATCAAAGATATGTCCTATTAATAGCTTTTGCAAAGAAAGTGCATGAAGATTTCCTTTGTTTCTTATTTGAATCACTAAGATGAAAGTGAAGGCTGAGGTAGTCATTTCACTCAAAGGAAATAAAACAAAGAAACTTCTTTTTCATTGATAAGAAAGCAGAGCTCTGATCTCCCATGGGCTGCTAACTTCAAAATATTCAACTGAACTACATAAAGAATAATCCCTGTAGTCACTAATGACTGCAATAGGGTTGGCCCTACATGCTCTAAGGCTGGGAAAACAATTTCTACTTACTATGACACCTTTCACATGAAATTCAGATGTAAATGAAGGCCTGTCTTTCTGCAGAGAAAGATTTTTTTTTCTGTTCTTGTATCTTTTAGGCTGAATTTACTCAAAGTCAATGTGCAGTAATAAAGAATAACCAGAACCCTGTTTTCCCTTGTCCCTAGAATCTCACTCATTAATAAAACACACAATAGTATGTTTAAGAAAATATAGTTATCCAGCAGGTTTAGAACTGCTTAAAAACAGTGCAAGTCACAGAAAGCTTAGCTTTTACCCTAATTAGTTTCTACCAGTTAGTTTCTTCCCTTAGGATGACCTAAAATTTTTTAGGTTTTATTGATAAAATACATAATTATTTAACCACAGTCTACATTCCATTCTTTTTGATGTTCCTGTTTTCTCAACATAAAACTACAGAGGAAGTATCTGCAAGGCGCTTCTGTTCATAAATGCTGCACAATATGCAAAGAATGCATGTGGTAAGTGAAAATTTAACACATTTCTCATAATCACTGTTTTAATACAAAATATTTTGCCTTCTGAGAGGAAAAGTAGAATCAGGTTAATAAACACTTGGATTTTTGAACTTTAATCTATATACAGCTAGTAAATTTGATTTTGGTAAGTAAAACACACATACCGAAATTAGGTTTTTGTTTCTTTAATCTCCCTTATAATAATCTGAGCTTTTATTGAATATTTCTACATTTAATCCCACTGTAAAGAAAAGCTATACATAACAGCTGCCATATTGGACAGGTACTTCCACGTTGAAGTCAGCAGGATTTTTACCTTAATTGGAATGTTATACACACAATTTTTTTTCTGAGAAAGCACAGGCTTTGTAACAATCAAATGGATCATCTAATCAATTATTACTGTTAGAAACAATTTTCCATTTAAAAACTATGTTAATGGCTTAATCACTGAACACAGCCCAGAAGATACAGTACACATATTCATAGTACTTTTAATATTCATAGAAATCTTATAAGGACCAGACCTAAGGTTAATCTGCCAGCAAAATTGACTAGTTTTGAATTTGTCCGCGTAAAGTCCATGTGAATAAAAAGAAAGCCCCGGTAATATAATTGGTTTCAAGGTTTTGTTTGCCAGAAACATGCTGATGTGACTTTGTATCTCGTTATGCAGAAATCAGCTACAGAACTGCAACTATGTATTTTACCATTTTATTAGTTTATTTACCTTTTACCTAGTTTGTCTTGCAAATATGCTTATTACTTCCAGTTACCAGCCGCAGTCTCGAGTGCTACAGGATTCCCGTGGCTCTGGAAATATCCCAGAGCTTTGCAATTCACAGTCACGGAATATTCCGAGTTGGGAGGGACCCAGATCACGGAATCCAATCCTGAGTGTACAGCCCTGCGGGGATCCTTGGTGGTGTTAGCACCGTGCTCCAATCATTTTTAACCTACACCACTGGTCTGTGTCACCAAAATTGATATTTCCCTAACACCTGTCCTAGAGAACATCTAACCAGATGAGGAAAACATTTCTACGCACAGTTTTTATCTATTTTTTTTTTCCTGAATCATTTCGGCAGCACAGCCTTCATTCACTGCAGCACTCGGCTGTACCCGGCAGTGCTCCCTCCCTCCGAGGGGATTAGTACGATTCCCGGAGCGGTTTCTGGCTCCCGCACCCGCGGGGCCTCGGGCCGCCGCCGCTGCCCCTCACGCCGGGGCGGTCGCGGCCGCCGCGCTCCCGCCCCGCCGCGTCACTGCCGGAGCGGCCCAACATGGAGCCCGGCGGCGGCGGGGACGCGCTCCCGAGGCTGCGGCGCCCGGGGCGGCGCGGGCCGGAGCCCCGGGACCCGCAGCAGCCGCAGCCGCCTGCCTGGGGCGGCGGGACGGCCGGTGGGTGGTGCTGGGCCGCGGGGAGCGGGGCCGGGTCCCGCCGCGGGCAGCGGGGCCGCCTCGGGGCGAGCGGCGGGGAGCGCGGCCCCGCTGCCCTCAGGTGTCCCTCTGACTGCGGGCTGGGCGGGGAGATGGCGGGGGCTTGTGGCCGCGGATGAATGCTCGAATGCTCTCCCGTAGGATGAGGAGGAATCTAGGAAATGAAAAGTAAAGCTGCCTGTGAGCTGCAGCAGAGCTGTGGGTACGCTCGGCTGGTGGCGGTGCGTGTGGAGGAATCGGCACTTGTGACACTGCTGCGCGCAGGCCACCCGGAGCTCCTAGTGATAAACTTGAGTGTGAGGCATCAAAACCACCTCTGACACCTTCTTTGACAGTGTGTAAAAGTCCTGTCTTACATGGTTACTGTTGTGCACAAAAATGGCTTTCTCATCTGCTTGCTCTGATACCTCTCTCTCCAAAACAGTACGGGGTAATGTGGGGAAAAAGAGAAGGCAGTTTCCTGCACAATGGTGGTTGTAGTTTACCTGTTGAAAGTGTGCAATGTAAGTCAAGCTAGCTCCTTAAACTGCAGTGAATTATCTGCAGTCGAGAACAAGAAAATTATTTATGCCTGCAATCGTTTAGCAAATGCTAAAATTCATAATGAATTTTATTTATTTGTATAAATTAGCATTTGGAAGTAACAACCTGAAATTCTATATACTAGATTAATGAAAACGGTTGAATAAACCAGGGGTTTTTAATTAGTTAAACAACCCTTACAAAATCTAGTCAGCTGTTTCCTAAAAAGATACACAGATATGGCATTGTGCTGATTGTTACCGCTTTATCCTTTTATCAAAAAATACCTTGCTTAGTCTGATTAATTTCAGTAAATATTCAGAGCTTTTTAGAATATTTGTAGCACAAAGTGTATTATGATGAGTAGAATAATCTCCCAAGATAAACGAACTAAAAAGATAAAGCATCATGCTTTATGTAAAGATAATCATACTTCATTTAATGACTGGCTTTAGTGCTATAATTATGTTCTTATTTACAGAAGAGTCTACAGCTGTAGAGAAGACGACGAGGCCTCTTAAAAGACTGAATATTCATTCTGCATTCTGGATTTTGACATCAATAGCTGTGACATACTACTTTGATTTTTTAAAAAATATTAAAGAAACTATGCAAGCAGATAGGTAAGGAATCTTTTCATACAAAAAGGTGTGTTTTAGTCTTGTAATCATACTCAGTTTGTTACATCTGGTCACTGTATTTTAAATTGTGGATGAACAAGATCTGCCATAGGAATAGAGAAATCTGGGACTGTTCAGCCTGGAGAAGAGAAGGCTCAGAGCTATTTTGTTAATGCATGTAAATTCCTGAAGGGAGGGTGCAAAGAAGACAGAGCCAGGCTCTTTCCAGGGGTGTCCAGGACAGGACCAGAGGCAGTAGGCACAAACTGAAATGGAGGAGGTTCCCTCTGAAGATCAGAAAACACTTTTTCACTGTGACGGTACTGAGCACTGAACAGGTTGAACAGGTAGGTTGTGGAGTCTCCATCCTTGGAGATACTCAAAAGCCATCTGGACATGATTCTGGGCAACTTGCAGTAGCTGAGCTTGCTTGAGCATGGAGGTTGGACCAGATGACTACCTAAGCTGATGTTAGTGAACTAATTTTAAAGTAAATACAATGCTTAAAAATTGCTGAAATTGATTTTTTTCTCTATAAACTCTACTGAGCCATCTTTGTACTTGTAAAGTTTGCTCTGATACCAGACATTTTAATACTGTACCTTCAAGTTTTCATTTAAGTAGAAGAAATAGCTGCCTGTTTTGTTGGAAGTATTTAGGTTTTGATTTTATTTTTTTATAATAAACCCCCTGGAATTAATCCTTAAAGGTCAAAGAGAAGTTAATTTCTCTAGAAGATCTGTAGATGATTTTGAGTAGGTCAGCAAAAGATTAGTGAAATAATTTCTGGGAAATAATTTTTATTTCTAGTGTCTTTCTTTTCTATTAAAGAAATCCCCCATTTTCAAGGGGATTGGTGTATCTTAAATGTTTTTAGATAGCTTCAGCTGGAAGTGCTTTTAAAACACATTGCTGTTGTCATTGTTATATCAGTATGTGGAAGCTGCACAGGGCTCTGTGCTGGGAAGTTCTCTGGAGCTGCTTTCCCAGGCTAGTTATACCCTTCCCACACCTGACTGTGAAAGCAGAGCCAGTGACTCCAAGGTGTAATCAGAATTTGGGGTCAGGAGTCTGTCTTCCTGCACTGCTTGTCTAGCCCATGGCAACAGTTCTCTTAGTAAAGAATTCACCTTTGAATACAAGATTTCAAAGTAGCACACTATGTTTGCTGTACCATTCCAGAGCACACGTCACCTGAGTAGGAAGATCCTTGATTACCCTTTGTAATTCAGTAATCAAGTCATAGTGAGAATTAATTTTTCAAAATTTTAATTTATTAATACATGTCCAGATAAGATTTCATTAGAGTACATCTTCCTCCCAAGTTGCCTTATCTGAACTAGTCTTGAAGTGTATCCTCAAAGAGGCTGAAAAGTGTGTCTCCCTAAATAATCACATACCTTGTGTTGTTATGATTCTGAGTTTAAAATTCTGGATTTCTCCATGGTTTTCTTCAGCAGTTATAAAGAAAAATCTTCATGTTTCTTGTCTGTTAAATTTGAGAGTTCCCAAACTGAAGCCATATTAAAGCTTTCTGCAGCATTTCTGTTGCACAAAGATCACGAGTCTAATGTATAGTGAAAAGCACAGTTGCAGTGGAGCCTATTTTATTTTATTAATGACAAAGTGGTTTTGATGTGGTAGTATAGTAGATTCCTGACAAGATCTGTCACATTGAATTTCCAAAATATTTGAGGGGACAATATATGAAAGGGATGTTTCACTGCAAGATTAAACTCAGCTGTTTATATTAGACAGCTTTTAAGGGCAAAAAGTGTTTTGTAAAATTAATCTAAGGTAAAACCTACAGGAACTCTAGGCCACAATCTGTGTTTTTAACAGATATTGCCTGTTCTGTTTGCCAACTCAAGCGAAGATTACTGTGCAAACTGCAGTGTGATTGTGCTAAACATGGTTTAATGTGCTTTTCTTCCTGCAGCTGGTGGCTTTCCTGTGGCACTTGTTTATTGGCTACATGTTTATCTGTTGCCTTTTACTGCATACTGTATCTTGAGTGGTACTGTGGAATTCAGGACTATGATGAACAGTACCCTGCACTGGTTCCTATCACAACAGCTACCTTTATAGCAGCAGCAATTTGGTGAGTTCAGACACTGTGTGCAAACTTTTGCTAAACCTGTGCAAGTCTGTATGTTAATGGGCTCATTTTATAAGAAGTATAATTTCTTATAAATTATAAGAAATTCTGTATGTAATTCTGCTATGTGTATTGGTGACAATTCGAGTTCTATGTAGCATAATTTCTTGCTCTTTCAACTTTCATCCACAAAGCAAGAGTTGCAACAGTCGAAACTGTATATTGTGCACTTGGAGATGTACTGGATCTCTTCTGTCTTGAAAATTTAGGAGAAAACTGAAGTTATCTTTGTTAGTGTAAATTTCTCACCTCTGGCAGCTACATGTGCAGTTTACAAATTAAGACAAAGGTGCAGTCTGTCTATCTGAGAATTCAGTTCAATCAGTTTCCGTCAGAGTTGTTCATTATCAAACAATCTATAAGTAGCAGACATACAGAAAATGTTAGACTTCTGACTATTGCCATATGAACTTTAAGAGTTTATGTTTTGTCTGAGAATGGTACTTTTAGCAAGAGTTGTTTTACTTATGAGGTTATATGAGTCAGAACTATTTGCCAGTTAATTTATTTGCTTTCTGCATGAAAATTGATTTCCTTCTTATCAGAGTATCAGACAGTATTTGTTGCAATGGTGAAAAAAAAGAAGATTGAAGAAAATAAAGGTTCCCTATGGTTTAAAATTAGTAAGATCTGTAATTCTTGGAAGTCAGTTGTAAAATAAGTTGGTTTTCCCCTCTCTCTTCAGTTAACTGAACAGTTCAGATTAAAGCTTCTCTCAGCTGCCATGTATGCCCATGGAAAAATCATTGAGTAGGTCATTTTTAGGGGTTTCAGGTAGAGATTTTCTGAAAGTAAAAGGTACCTTTACCCTTTATATGTTTTGTTTTCAGAAACAAAGTATATTTCCAGGTTAAGTGATTTAAATCTTATTTCTTCTTTTGACATGTTTCCTTTGTATGCCTGGTGTTTCTGTAATATGACAACTGAACTTACCAAATACTTTCTGCTTTTATTCCCAGTTTCAATGTTGCCTTGTGGCCTGTCTGGTCATTTTTTACACCTGTGTTGCTCTTCATTCAGTTCATGGGTGTTGTGATGCTTGTGTCACTCCTGGGATAAGCCCTTCAGGTAAATAATTGGATTTGTTAAGCACATAGAAGTATTTATCTTGTTGTGGGAACTGCTTTGTTAGACATTTAAGGATTGGGAAGCTCTTTAGGGGTCCCTTCTCTATATTTTGTGAACATTCTTCAAATCATGACATTTGGTTGTGTATAGAGTAACCAGAGAACATGCAGTTATCCAAAGGGGAAGAATATCCTTTCCACTTCTCTAAAATTCCATTCTAGACATTGAAAAGAAACATTAATGAGAATGGATGGTTTGGGGATGTATAGACCAAAAACCTGCAGCTTTTACCTAGACTGGGAGAACTTCTTAGTAAAGCTGTTTGACCTGATAGTAAAAGGGAGAGGATATCAACATCCATGGACAAAAGCCTTCTCCATTTTTTAAAATTAAAAATCTTTGTCATGTCTTTGTCTTCAAGTGTGCTGTTTTCATTTTCTGTGATGCACAGCCCAGATCAACCTGCTGTGTGGAAAATTGCCAGATATGAGAAGTTCTTTGTTCTTTCTAAAAAGAACTTTTCAAAGGCCAACCCATCTGTTTTGTTGACTTGAAAAATGCATTCTCAATAACTGCCACATCTTTTGTTAGAATATACTTATCAAACAAATCCAGTGAAATGTAAAAAGCTAAGGAAGACGCCAAATACAGCTCAGTAAATAGGATAAAGGATATACCCTGTGTCACACATGTCTCATATCATCCAGGGAAGCTATTCCTTCAGCAGGTCTTTTTTGTTGTACTTCTCAAGAGAATGAGGAGGAAGCCTGTTTGACTTTGCTTGCCACCACAAATTCTTTCTAGTGAGGAGATCCCTCAGCATTTTTAGGAGTGCAACATAAAGAAGACTGTGCTGGATTGCTGGATTTAGAGTGTAGCCTCTTGAACTGATGAAGTTGTAGGCAAAATGTGTTTAATGTCTGGGATGGTGAAACCCAGATTTTATTTTTTTTTAATAACAAACTGAACCACTGTTGCACTTTCCCTGCTATTTTTGAGATATCAAGAAACCTGATTTTAAAGGAGATAATTAACTTCTACTCTGACAAAACTCAGACTTCTGAAAAATACAATGCTTAATTCAGAATCTCTTTACTGTGGCAACGAGTCACACTTGCTGATACAAACATATCCATGTTTGTTGGTTCTGTCAGTGGTGTTCTGTCTCTGCACTTGAAGTATGTGGGGAAATTCTGTATTAGATCAAATAATTATTGGCCTAATGATTAGGGACAAGTTATTACTTGGTGTTCCAACATCATTAATTCATTTAGTACGTGATACAGCTTGTGTGGTGTATAGAACATTCAAAGATTTTTTGTTAAATTTGTCTTTTTTTTTCATTTCTTTCAGATTGATGTGTGGAGGATTCAAGTAACTGTAATCCTGCAAAGTGTATGTCACTTTTATTACATTCCAGTACTTCTGTTGTTTCTAGTACTGCCTGTTTGCTCTAATACAGTAATTCTTAATCTACTTGACTTATAAATCAATGGACATAACCATAGGAAAAAGCAACTGATTAGTCAATAACTGGAAGATAAATATGTTTTACATCTCTTAGTAACATGAAGCCTTCCATTTTGTAAAGCTTTGTAAAGCTTTTATTTATATTTGAGTATTAAGCACATGGGTAGTAAGTAATAGCACCACAGAATAGTTAGTGTTGAAGAGGACCTTTAAATATTATCTCTGGAGGCCTCAGAGGTCCCCTACTCAAACTTCCTGTTCAAATCATGTTGTTTGATTTGGAAGTAAGTGATACTTAAGTGTTGTGGGGTTTTAATACTATATTCTTTCCATTTGAATTGACAGGTAAAATACTGATATCTGGAACCTGTGTTTGTACTTGTAAACTTACTTACAGGAGACATTTCTTGATCTCTTAAATTTCTATATGTGTTAGTTACCATGTAGGAAATACTTTATTATCTAATGTCTTGAATTCAGATCTGCTAGTGTTTAAAAAAAAGTATGGATAGGGGTAAGGGAGGCTGGTTGACATTTGGCAGTGCCATCAATTAAATAAATAAATTCTACTTGTGCTCATACAGTTTGTCCACAGCCAAAGGTGGATGATCAAGCTGTGAATAACCATCAACACAATGAACAATATTAAGACTACACAAGAAATCTGGAGCACAAATTAAATTCTTTTGATGTATGCACTGTTTTTCAGTATTCAGGTTGTTTTTTTTTCCTGTACATCAAATTTTCATTCTTAGCAGTGCCTGTTAATGAAGTTGCCATTTTCCTTACTCAGCAATGAAGAGGCTGATATTAACTTAAAAGCTACTAGTTATATTCAGTTAGGAAAATAAAATAGCATTTTATTTTTATTAAGTGTCTGTTCGTTTTGACTGAGATACTTAACTGTCTGAAGATCTGGGAACCATCTGGTTGCTAGGCCACTTTATGTAAATCCTTGTGTAAATATTTTTCCATGAATGCCTTTTGGAAAATAGAAGAATGTAGAAATTGGGTATTGAAGCCTGTTAATATCTACTCCTTGTGAGTGTTGCTTAAAGTCTGGACTGTCAAAGGGTACTGTGTTCTTCATTCTGACTTCCAAATTCACACCATTGTTGGAACACATGAAATGTTTAGTAATGACAGAGATACACATTGTCTTTGGCTGTTACTGTTCTATTAATGAAAAAGGTTGTGACCTAATAGTATGTAATACAAAGGATCAGATAAACCAAAATAAAGTGCATTCAGCACTACTTGAAGTAGTTTGTAGGATAAGTTAACAGCTTGATTTGTTTAAATGTAATATTTAAGTTTGCCAAAACCTGTCATGCTTCACATCTTTAAAGTGTAAGTTGTTTATCTTCAGGTCTTCACTTTTTAAAAGATTTTAACAATTTTATGTCTGCATACACAGGTACATTTGAGTAACTTTATTATAATATTTAAAATGCAGTATTGCTCAGGGATGGTTATTATAGCTGTATTTTTATTTGTCAGCTATATAAATGCTCTAAGTGTTTTAAGTTGCCTTGTGATCTGAATTAAAATTACTATTTGCTACATGATTTTTAAAATTCATTTTTCTGAACATCTTTATAAACTTTGTACAAAAGTGACCAGTAGTTGTTCAATATTTAATTGTTTAACCATCTAATTACACTTCTTGGAGACTTCCACCCCATCTCATTGCTTTTCCTATAAAATAGTTGTTCACGTAGATTTTAAATACTATACTTGACTTGGAGTATCTTTGTCAATCATGCCCCTTCAGCTGGGTTTATTGAAGGTGTAATAACATTCTGTTCACCTCTGGAGAGCTGCATGCCTTCTTTGATGTCTTTCTGAGAATCCCAGGTAGAAATGCTCATTGTACAAAGTTCAGCAAAGTCCTTCTGTAACAGATCTGAGTATCCAACACAATACTTACTCACTTACGTGCTCAAGAGGAAGCAGTGGCAAATCTGGTAAGAATGTAAAACAATGCTTGTTTTAATTGTTGTAACCACAATGCTGCTGCCGCTTCTGTGAACTCCTTGCTTTTGTTATTTTCCTTACCACCAAATAAAGAATTTAGGGCAAGGGAGTAGAAAGAGGTAGCATAATAATTCCCTGAAAAAAAATGAGGCAATTGAAATCCCCACCTCTACTAAAGCTTGAATGTATTCTCTTGGTACAGACCACCATAGGCATCTTCTGTATCCATTTAAATTATTTAATTTCAAGATGAGAATGTGTACCAGCACCAAAGAGCTTTATAGGTGACAAGGGATAATTTGAAGTAAAATAGTCCATGCAATGAAGATTATATTATTTATCTCAGTTACCCATAGAAGCTCTCTAAAATGGAAACATCTTTCTTACTTATTCTTTAAAGGTTACATCATATGAGATAGAAGTAGGATTTGGCAATCCCACAATGACATTTCTGATAACAATGGATGTAGCTGTGAGCTAGAGGTGATTGAAGCCTGTTTGACTAGTTATGCTTTTGATTTAACAGGCCAGACAGAAACATAGGGCTTGCTTCCTGTTAAGTGCATTCCTCAAAAGGAAAATTTGCAGATGGCTTAAAATACCTGTTTCTTAAGAACAGGACAAAATAAGTAAGGAGCTACTTCTTTATGTTTACCTAAATAGGTGATTGTCCAGAATTCACTCATTCCACCTTTCTGCCATATTGTTTCTCTTCCCTGTTCTTTAAGAGGCTTGTGATTCCCAGACACTTATACATAAGTTCAAAAGTGTCCTTTGTTATATGAGAAAAACCTCTCTATTAATTTCTGGCTTCAAAAGAGAAAGAGTTTAAAATGACTCCTTTGCCAGAGGAAGTGGAATAAGATAGATTCTGTATTTTCAGTATATCTTTTTTTTGTAATTGTAGTTGAACTAGTGGCTTAATTTCATGTGAGGCGTGGGTCACCAATGTTTTGGGTAATCAATATGCAACCAACAGGTACAGAGCAAAAATGTAAGACCTGCTTGGTCAGAACAAAGACCAGTCTATCGTGGTGTTTGGGCCTCCAAGCTTTGCTCGGCATCCAAATACCTAAAGTTAAGAGAATTCATTTTAAGTAGAAAAGGGTCAATACTGCAAGTGTGTATAAATATTGGGAAAACGAATATATAAGAACTGGACTAAATTCTGCAGAAAGTTTTGCTACTTTGAGCTCAGTAGTTGCTTCTCCAGCTAGCAATTCCTATAGTACTGTGTTGTCAGAACAGGACTTTCTAACAAACAACAAGGTAAATTGCCATTTTTGAAAGGTGTAGAGAATTCCTGAAAAACGAGGTTCTGTCCTACCAGTGAAAGTACCGATTGCTCAAAAGAAGACGGCCTGTGGAGCCCAGAGCGTGAAGCACGTGTGTGATCCCTCTGCCTGGCCGTGCGAAGGATTCCAGCAGCAGCTGGAGGCTCCTGGGCTGCAGGGCAGGCTCCAGCCTCAGCGGCTGCCAGGTTCTGGCCCTTCCTCGGCTTTCCAGCCCTCGGGCCGGGGGTTTGTTCGACACACGGTGTCTTTCGCATCCTCCTATGCAGGGAACGGGTCACACCTACACCGCACGGGTCTCCCAACACGGACAGGACCCCACGTCCCTTACAGAGCCAGCCGGGCAGGGCAGGCTCCGAACTAACCTTCGTCCGAGCCACTTCTCCTTACCCTGGTCTGGACCCCATCTGTTGTCAGTCTCAGGGAGGAATGTCCCGCAAAGCCTCAGGAGCCTTTCCCGCAGAGGGGAGCGCGGGGCTGCCCCGGCAGCGGGACCCCCGCCCGCGGGCAGGGCACGGCCCGGGCCCGCGGCCCCGCTCCGCCCCCGCCGCGATGGGGGACGGGCCAGCAGCGGCCTCGGGGCTCCCCGGGGAAAGCGGGGCCGCCTGCTTGGAGCACCTGGCCGGCGGCGTGGGACATGGAGCAAGCCGCCGGGTGCCCCGCGGTGGGCGGCAGCTACCCGCAGAAAAACGCCGAGATCCTCAGCAGCCAGTACGGCATCAACCTCTTCCTGGCCGGGCTGCTGCTCACCTTCGCCTGGGCTGTGCATGCTGTGGGCATCAGCAAGAGCCACCTGCTCTCCTACCTCATCACGCTGATGCTCATCCAGCTGCTGTGGATGCTGTGGTACCTCTGCAGGAGCTGCACACAGAGGAGGCTGATCCGGGACAAGGACACGCACGCTGGAGCCCGCTGGCTGAAGTGTAAGTACGGGCGGATGGCACAGAGCGGTACTGCACAAGGGACATCTGTGCCATCACCTGTGTCTGCTGCCTCTTTGTTACCCTCTCCATCCCTACCGGGAGGCATCCTGGTATTCGCAAACTGAATGAACATGCAGTGCACTCTAAAGTAAATATATGCATAAGCTGAACGTACTAGAAGATTGTATTGGGAAGCTGTTTGTTAAACATCCTCACTTTCCAACCTACCATTTATAGTGCTGAAAGCTCTGGCGCCTTTGTTCCTTACCAGGCTGGTTTGGTGAAACTTGAAAAATGAAATATAGTTAGCAGAAGAGGCAATGTTGTTGGTGTCTTGGAGGAATTATCACCTTTTCCAGATGGTATAACACAATTTACTTTATGGTAGTCAGAAAGGTTCTGAACTGCTCTCTATACCGATGTATATAGAGATTCTGTTTATATGTGTACAGCGATGCTTTAGAAACATGTAGAGTTAGAAGAGGACAAAATCCCTGACCAGATCAGTTTGTAATCAGTACATAAAGCAGCTAAACAAGGAATCTAAACTGAGCATTCGCTTGCAGAAAAAGTATAAAAGTTTGTGAGGGTAGTGGTGGGGTATGCTGGCCTTTATCTGCAGTCAGGTGCGTACCAGAGTGAGGATACAAAGGTATATTGAGAGAAGGTGTTTGGGCAGCACATCACAGCCTGGTAGTGACAGGAATGCTGTGTTTTTGGGTACAAATGAAAAGAAACAGCCTACATCAGTGCTTGTGGAATAATAGGCAATCCGAGTTTTACCAGCCTCTTCAAGTCAGCACTGTGAATGATAGATCGGAAAGTATTAAAGTGAAATATTATGACAGTTTTCCCCTAAAATGTTTTCTACCTACTAACAATGAGACAACAGCTAATTTTCACAGAGCTAATGAAATATCTAAATGAAAATTCCAAGAACACCTGACACCTGATTATTTTGAAAAGTAAGGTTGTGCTGTAGAAATGCAGTTTGTTCTCAATCTCAGTGCTTGTGTATAATTTATTTTCTTTGCAACCGTTAACATTTGTGTTTGAATACCTGACAGAAAACCTATTTTTTTTTAATGTCTAATGTACAGCCATGGTCTGTAGACTCTTTCCTCAAATTTATGGAGTTCACATACTAACTGTTGAATTGTTCCCTTGATTATTTACTATTTTTCAGGGCAATATTAATCTCTCAAGCATTTTTCATTTATTAGCTTATGTGACTTAAAAGCTCCTGAAATTCATGTAAGGCTTAATATGATCCTACCTTGGACCAAGCTAAGCTTTTGTTACTTAAAGGGTAGCCTTCCCCTCCTAAATATGGAATAAATACTTCCTAGCATGGGTAAGTACAGCAGGATCCCCCACCCTCTTTTTTTTGGCGTCGCATTCACCGCATTTCATTTGTCCTACAGAATATAAGGAGTCACAGAAACTTAGAAATAAGATCCTAGATTGAACTACTAGGTTACCTTATCCATTTCTTTTACCAGCACAGGATGGCTCTTTGTACTGGCTTCTCAAGTGCTGTGGGTTCTATGGCTTCTCTTAGGCTGCAATTCAACAAATTTGCCCTTAGGGAATGACCTACACTTTCCTATTCTTGGGAGTTTCTTGTAGTTACAACAAGTCTGTACAACTCCTTTATCCTCTATTGGTAAAAGAAAACTTATTTGAACTAAGGAAAAACTCAGGTGGCAATTCCTCTGCCAAGATCCCCCTTGCCCTCCTCTTTATCAGTGCTTTTGTCATAGAAATCTTTTACCTGAAAGATCAAAAGTCCAAAAAGGAAAGGGGAGGATGGAGTGGGACAGACATATTTTGTTTGACTTTTTCCACTGAAAGGTTTCTGCAATTTTTACACTAGCTCTATCAGCTGTTTTTGAAGAACATCTCTTTGCTGTAATTGTGAGAGCAAATGTCCTTGTATTAAACAGTATAAAATGAGTGTGTTTTCATGAATACTTTGTGAATATCATTTTAGTAAAAGTGGTGGCAGTTGCCTGCTTAGATCATTTTGCTCTGACAAATATTGACATGGAATGATTTAACCAAAACCTCCTATAAGTGACTCCTTGGACAAGTTTAGCAACACTAGAAGGACAGATGACCAGTTTGCAAAAACTGCTCACAGGAAGGTTTCCTCGAGCCTTTCTGCACCAAGGTGTCAATTGTGTGAACCCTTGAGCTTGGTTGTCTTCCCACCTGTGTGGTTGACCAAGAACCATTCCTAGAGTCTGAATGTGGGAAAAGTTTGTGGCAGAGCTGTGCCTTTAATACAACACAGTTATCCTGACCCAAATAACCACAGGGAACTTTAGGAAGTCTTTCCTTGGCTTATTCCAAATGTTATTGCCCTAAGTTTACTCTTCTGATAGGAAAAGCTCTCTGACCATTTCTGGGGAAAGTGAAGTGAGC